CTCTGGCTTTACGAGATCGTGTGCGCGGCCTGCTTCTCATATTTTCGCGCCACTTTGTAGGTGAGCTTAATCGTTAACAAACTGCTCTCTCCTAACCTAATCAGAATCTTTTTTAAATCAATATATTGATTGCTCCGCGATTCATTCAAGGATCTTTCTTACTGTTTTTGGTGTGGAATCATGCATTTCGATGGATTTGCGGTAAAATGTTACAGTGAGCCAGATAGAACAGTGGCTAACTATTTCGTCACCAATGCGTGNAATGCGTGCCTTTTTGTTCTCCCGTTGGCACCCAAATCCTTTTTCCTTGAAATACATGGTTAACGATTAACAGCTGAGCGGAGAGCACTTTGCTCTCCGATCCGAAGGTTTATGGTTCGAGTCTCAACAAGGACGCGAAAATTAATCCTGGAGACAGTCCTTCACCAAAAGCTGTCCGCTGCTCCATGTCAGTCATGATTGAATTTTGTGGCAAATTCAGATTATCTGCAGCTGTGAGGGAATAAGGGAACTTCCAAGGAGTGAAGCTTACACATGAAAGTTCAATTTGAAGATCTTGATCCTTATGAGCTTGATTAAGTCAAATTGGTAACAATCTCTGTATGAGTTAATCGTTTCATCCAGTGGCCGTTACTATTTCATGATGGAATCTACCAACTCGGGGTACAACATTCTTTTTTTTCGGTGGCACCGAATTCCAATACCTTATGAAAAATGATAAAGGACTAAACATAGACCCATTTTTTATAAACCATGGATTTTAGAGTAGTTGAACAGACAGTTTTGTATCGCCCTCGGCAACGTGAGGGCATTGTTGTTTTTAAACTGGTCTGAGTCGTGCCAGTCTATCGTAGGGTCCCATTTGCAGCTGCATGTGGAACAGTGCAGCATAAAGAAATGAGTCGTTTACAGCTCAACACTTAGCTATCAGACCAGTCAAACCAAATCGAGAAGTTGCTCTACTACACCCTCGTATATCAATTTTAATTTGCCAAATGCCTAACCGATAAAAAATGTATAGGTGATCAAATATATTACAATTACGGAGTTAGTTTCATGATGTGGACAAATTAAAAAAATACGGTCCGGGACATACTAAGCGGGCGAGATAGGAAGCCACAGTGAAATTGTATTCTTGTGAACGTGCTTGAAGGTGTTTGCACCTGGAGCTAATGAGAGAGATCGAAGTACATTTATATAACGCAAGGCTAAGAGATTAACAATGAGTCAGGTAGTATTTCATACCCAAGCTCATCACAAGGTTTAATGGGATGGGAGCCAATATGATGGATGATGTAGGCTCTGGGTAAACCACAACGCGTAGACAAACACCCGAATGGTCTGTATATTACGCATCTTTTATCATAAAGCAGTAAAAATCACAGGAGCGGCATTGAGCCAGTGTGGTAAAATGCAGGTATGTTGGAACTGTTTTGTTCAACTGTATGAGAGTGGATGAGAGCTCAAGACACAGGGTCCAACAAGAAAGCCTCTTCACTTTTACAAATTTATGATTGATGTGCTCAGATCAACCGACGGGATGGTTAGGAATAACGCCCAAGCTTTTAACTGTTGTTCCCCGACTAAGAGGTGTGTGGTTAATGGATAATGGCTGGTACATCTCAAGAGATTGTGTGCAGAAGATCACTTGTTAAGTTACATGGAATAGAAAGGATGGCTGAGTAATCAGGGTCGGGTGAGCCAAAAATGACGTTATCGGCGTACTTGAAAGCATAAAGTCATTGCATAGAGGCATAGAGACAAGGTATAGGCTAGGCCATAGTATCGTGCAAACTGTTTTCGAAAGAAAAACAATCAATTAGAATAGCTGTGGTAGGTGGAGGAACATCATAGGCTGCACGAATAGAAAGAAGGTGATGTTTATCAACACCTTCGAATGCATCTCTGTGATCTAGACAGCAGACTGTTACAGCTTTACATTTATTATTGAGCGATGAAATAAATTACCCTATGGGAAATGAATCGTTTTAGGGAAATACATGACGCTGTGCTGGCGTATTCTTTCAATAAAACAAGTTGTAATCCATCTGCCCTACCAGTTTTATGGGGCTGTAGTGATTAGAATTCTTAATCTTTGTATGGAATCGGTCACCTGTGAGTGTCAGACTTTGGGGGTGACTCCGGCCTTCGGTAGACCTGGGGTTAACTATTTTGATGAAGACACTATTTCTGTCTTCAGTATCTACGGCCAGAGATTACCGACTAACGGAAGAATTACAAAGCTGTTTAATCATTCTTCAGGTTTGAAGGAATATGTTGAGTGTATATGAAGGTCGGATGACAAATTTAAAGTCTAATGCCCTTTATTAGGATTAGTCTACCGGGATGCTCCTCTGGTGCTCGGCGCGAAAATTATTGATCATACAACGCTTGTTAACACCTTTGTAAAAACGCATGGGGAATTCATAAAAAGATAATGCACTGGATGGAAGCAGAGCAAACTGATGGATGCAAAGGGTACAATTTGGACAACGTTCAAATTGAAACTCAATATGAGTGAAAGGTTTATCGACTTGCCGGATGGAAAAGAAAGCGAACCGCTTCAGTCATTTAACAGAAAACACAGTTTTAATAAAACAAAAGACTTTCGACCAATCATACCTGCCAAAAATAAATTTTTTCAAGCTGACTATTAGTTCGTTATCCAACTGTTCATTTTATCGAATCCGCCGATGACACCACCCTTTTGATAAGTTTCGTTGGAAAAACTTAGTTCCTATGTTTATCCTTTCTTTGTCATGGTACACACAGATATCGAATTCATTCTGTCTGTTCACATCTGAACGCTATTTTTTTGACCTTGAACAGCGTCGACAATCTAAACATGGTTAGATGAACGTAGCATCTAACGACGGTTCTAGGTAAAGCTGTCGAACATGCTTCCGGGGTTCATTAAAATCCTGCATGGATATAATAGTGGATTTTATCCACTCTGTGGATAAAACTATGCGAAAGACTTACTTCGTTCGACATATATTGTGCGATAAGAGGTATCTGAATACCTCGAAAAAACAATCGCGGAAAATACGGCCAGTTTCTCGGTTCTTTCCGCTCGTCAGACACGTGTATCAGATAATCTTTTGCCGCTTCATTCATATGCTGTTTGTAATATATATCTATATATAAGAAGTAGCATCATGATCACGGGATGTGTTGAATTTAGCTATTTCGTGGTAATCTCATCAGCTGTGTACATACATTCGGATCACGTTAGGTTAGAAGAGTGACAAGTTTGGGTACAGGTGAACACACGGGGAAGAGAAGTGAATCAATACGAAGGCCAAAGGTCACTAATATGAACCGAATTAGACAGGGGCAGGGAACGGAATCACTGCAGCGTTGGGGGGGGGGCGAGGGAGGAGGACAGTGACACATCTACCAGCGGGCAGCGCGAGGCTGGCCACGAATTCGGTCTGTTTACATAAATCGGGCTTGTAATGTCGAGTGGCAGTCGCTTCAGTGAACCGTAGTAGACGGCTACCTTTCTGGCAGATCAAGACACGAAATGCGTCCCCAGGTTTGTCGCATTCTTTGCAATCCAGTATATGTCGGGCGATTGACTGGACAGAAGCTTGGACCCGTTAGACGCCAAATGTTCCGGTACATGCTCTGCTATCCTGGTAGACAATCGTCTCTCACTTCTTCCGACGTATTTGCTACCGCAAATACATTGAAACACGGGAGGAGGTAACTGGAGAGTCGGGTTTGTCCAGATTGGATTCTGAGCATTCGCCTCGTATCATACAGTATTATAACGAGGCAGCGTCATACGTTCTTTCAATCGCTTATTTCAACCTGCTCTGTATCCGCCTATCATTTTGATCACCTTGAAACGGTATGTTGACAAAAACAGCTTTTTCTGAGGCGGTGTCATCTTGTTCTAGTTAATTCAACGGCGCTCCATAATTTGAGATAAACGTTTTAGGGTATCCTTTTTCGTGCAGTGCCGTGGATATGCAGCGAACATCAAACTCTAGCGTTTCACTGAAACAGATTATCCTGGCTCTAGAGAATAAATTATGCACCAACGATCGTTTGTATTGTATTGGACAGAAACTTCTAAAACTTATAAATTCACGGTGGAGCACGAATCCGAATCTTCCTTCCAGTTCCTGGATGCCAAATTGACGAGAAAAAAGGACGGATCTCTCATCAGATCCGTCTCTCACAAGCCGACACGGACAGGACAGTATCTTAATTTTAGTAGTTTCTGTCTTTTTTCGTATATCGTCAATTGTCGTATCTGTCAGAGTAAAAGACGATACGTACCACCGTTGATCTCTGACCATCAAATTTCAAAACAGTAGCCACTTTCATCGGCGCTTGTCGGAGTGCCGTGCACTTGGAAAATGCACAAGCACACCTCTGGTGGTGTTGTGGCTTTTGCAAGTATTGTACGAGGTACGCTTACGCTCTAGAAATTTAAGTATACGTCATATACGGATACCAGATGAAGTATACTCCTCATGCAGTTATGAAATGAACAAACTTTTCGGAAATCGATCTGATATATCTTTTGTGCGAAACGTGAACAATGACGACCAGTAGGTTGCCTGTATAAACTTCATTGGTTAAAAAACAGGTCGTTTGCTGTGATTTCGGAAAATAAGATTACCAGTTGAGTAAATTATCAGTAACTTCCACGGCAATAGACAGTGCGGTTTTAATTACTAGGTGCTATGGTTGATTCATTTTATTCGCCAGAGGTTTGTGTTGGGTTTACAACCTTTGAGAAAGAGTTCTACAGCTCAGATCTAACAAAAATCTCACCTCAAGATAGTGGTTGACGTACAAATGAATCCCGTTCATCGGGATCAGTTATAACCCAGCTGGTTATCCCAGTTGAACTACTTAATGACATCAAACTTTTAAGCTACCAAACAGAGAAACCATATATTAGGAGCAACTCTCTGACAGCTTGAGAGAAGATGTGCTACGTGGAGTGCCCTGTTCGAGTGCATTAATGAAGCGCCCAGCACACTTAATAGAGTAACAAGTTCTCTCTCCTTTCTGTATTAGCTTTTCACCTTCCGAGTGCAAAGTGATGCTGCAAGACTGGGTCTCAATCAACTTTGAAACTGGTTTGTATGGAGTTGCTTATAATAGGTTACTTTTCTTACTCAGGCAGTTCCGCGACGAATAATGGCAACGCGGTAAAGGTGGCTGCACGTGCATCCAAGGCTCAAGCTGTGTTCGCTCAACTGGATCAACTTAGGCGTCGATGTGACATTTCAATAAAGCTGAAAGTCGCTCACACTGTGTCATAGTAATTGACAGAGATAAGTGAAGTTCGCTTACCGTATCTCGTGCAGTGATGATGAGGATTTTGATGTTTCAAGCATAGGTAATTGTTTGGTTTGAAAATATGCGAACTGTCGTATCATTACAAACCAATACTCCGATTGCATTTAAACGTGAGTGATTGTGAAATGTATGTGAATATAATTATCCATCTATGGGAAACGTTTTCTTCTCCACATTTTGCGACAGATTTTCGACGCACGCGTGCACAAGGTTCAGAACACTGGCATTATCGTAAACTTACTGATCCCGGAGGACCCGGAAAATGCGAACAGCAATGCACGAACTGTCGGTGTTGGGTTCCTGAGATTCGAACACCTTACCGATCACGAAACAAATATCCCGCTGCTCACTGATTGTTTGTCCAGCATCAAGCCGGGTGCGCCTTTATCATTGAACGGGAGAAAACCACGGCAGGTTGTGGTGATAAATCAGACAGGGAAAATGGCTCTGGTTTCGGCCAAACCAACATTGTTACATGCGGCGCGCGAGTCCCGACCTTCTGAATCTGATGAAAACGCGGTTCCGGCTACTGACGACTCGACTGGCTTTGTCCGTGATTTTCCTGACTTACAAGTATGTTGCTTTATTGATTTAGGAAAAAACAACATCGTGCCTGCCAACACCCGAATCATAACTGGGAACTGAGTGCGAATAACTGAGTGAATTGTGGCGTTTGCTAGTGCTGGTGAGAAATATTGGCAGTCATTGTTTTCATCTCACTCTAAATACCGATATTCAGCAAGTGATGTATGATCAGCCGCATCTTTTCGCAGCTTTAAACAAGTTACTTTAACGGGTTCTTGTGCACCAGGTTCCCAATCTAGTCTATCATTCAAGCCGTTGGTCCACCGTTAACCACCAGTCGCGGTCATCCTTAACCTTTGGGCCAGTTGATTTCGGAATGTCCTTCTTCGCGACCTATTTCCGCCAAAGTATATCAACTTGTTATGGTCACTGTACTCACATACTTCTACTGAAAAGGGTGGTATTCGCCGAGCTACGCAAGTTCCAACACAACAGTGGTGCTCGTCAGAAGTATCCTATTTCACATAGGATACTTCTGACGAGCACCACCACCATAATCGGGGAATGCCCAAGATGCTTTTGGAGATATTGATATTCTGTGGGCAGTAGGAAATAAACTGTTTGACATAATCGGTTTGGTGGAATGTGCGGAGCGGTCCTTTTGATGTGTACCGTGCACTTCCAAAGTGCCAAATGATGCAATGAGATCGGGTGTTAACTACTCGTACGCTAAAACACAGTGGTCAGGAATTAGCGGTAATTGATTACTTCTCATTTCTAAACCCGTATAACGGTAGTAAACTAAGTTGAGTGACCGCTTTCTTACCCAATACTCAAGTGGCACATGCTGTAGTGCAACACCCGTAACGAGCGCGTTAGCAACATCGAGCTAATCTGTCGTGTATTGCAGTCTCGGGTGAAAGTTTGTCACAATGGATACGAACAGGAGTTGTGCATATTTATCAGTCATCCCGTTGGTCTTTCTACGATCCATTCCCGTACTCGAAGCACTTTCTATCTATACTTCTGGTTTAACAGTCAGCAGGTCAGAACGCAAACACTACAAGAGGACTACTTTTCACATTCTCCCATCCGTCGCTTACATATAACATTAAACAGAACTGGCAGATATGAAATTTTGCATGACAGTGGGGGATTTAATTCGATCGTGTGTTAAATTTCGTCGTGTACACCAACAGTGCGAATACATCGACCCAACTGAGAATCGAACTAGGAACCTCACAGGCAAACATACCAGTCATTCGAAATGAATTAAAAAAATAAGGACTATACTACTCGAGGAATTATCGACCACACAACAAACCCATCCTATGTGCCCGGGAGCGTTTGATTTTAGGGATTGGCCTAATTCGACAGTAACCAATATTACACACACACCCATGAAGCCTAACTGAATTTGTTATGTTTCGCGAAATCACGCTTTCGAATGTCCAGTTGCAACTCCTCAACCGTCGACTTCCCGAAATCAGAATCCAACCAGATCAGCGCGAAAGTTGTATTCAGGAGTGTACCACTGCGTTACATCTCGAGTGAAAAACGTGCATTACATNCATTACATCAAGTAGTATATGAATAACTGGACAAAATTTCTCGGGAAGCACACAACCGGTTTCTCGGTTCTCGCCGCTCGTCAGGCATGCGTATCACGCAATCTTTCGTCTTTTCATTCATGTACTAAAGGAGCTGTCCAAAAACTCTACCCGGTGTCGTAAATGAGATTATATATATATATATATATGAGGTTTTGTCTCGGGAATTTTTCGTTGGTTTCTTATTATTTGACTTCGATTCCTCATAGTAGTACTCCTATTTTCAGGAAGATTTTCACCTTCCTGACGGATTTTCCCGGTTCAGTTCATGTTTGTCAATTGTTGGTTTTTCGCACACGATCAATGATAGTGTAAGAAAAATATTTCTCTCACAGTGTTAGTCTTCTGACTAGCATGTTAAAATTTATCAGGGATCTAAATACTTTTATTTGACTTTTCTTAGTATGGTTTGTCAGACGGTATAAATCATCATCAAATTCCCACCCTAACCTCTCTTCTGCCCCCTCCCCCTTTTCACTAGCGATGTGTTGACCGGATATGGTCTCTAATCTGGAAAAAGTAATTGCTGCACGAAAGTTTAGTATCACTTATCTCCATTGTAATGTATTTGCCAGTGGATGAATTACCGAGCTTGTCCGGCATTAGGTTTTTCTTACAATGTGTGATAATAATATAATCGGACATATGTTTTTCTGTTCACTGTCTCCCTAGGTCGGTAGCCAATGGTTTGCGTGGGTTCAGAATCACGTCGACTACGGTGTATTTGTACAATTCCCTGCCGGAATCCGTGGTCTAGCACCAGTTCGTCTGCTCTGCGACAGACGCATACCGCAAAAAGTCACTGTGACCGAACTGTTCCCCACAGGTGCGACCGTGATCGCAAAAGTGGTCGAATTGGCTCCGTCGGAAAAACGACGTTGTCTGGTCAGTTTGCGTATGATCGACACATACACTGCTGCTGAGGAGCAGTATGTAAACGGGGCAATTCAGTCGTTGCGCAATTGGTTGACAGAACAGGAATGGATTTCCGAGAGACGTAAGTGCTATCAGTTATCTGTGGATGGAAGCAACGAGTTCCTAATTATTAGTTCCTAATTTATGATCAGTGTCGGTGTGATGGAAATCGGGTTCATGTCTTATTTTTGATTTCGCTCGTTGTTGTTTTTCTTGGATGTGTGTGTGTATATGTATATGTGTGAATACACACAATATGTTTATATACTTGTTTGCGACTGCAGAAGGTGGGAAGGTTTATACCATTCCGACTAACGTGAGCTTTATACACGATGGTGAGATTGCTCGATAATTGATGTGTGCATAAATAACAGAATGATAAAAGATTGCTGTTTGACCCTCGGTTGGGAGGTGCTTTGATCGGCCCAGTTAGATCAAAGCTGACCCGATTCACACATTAAAGCGCTACGGAAGTCACCCAGTCTCAATCCTCGCGCACCTAAAAGCACCACATCTTTTCACTGGCTCCTTCTGGTCAGGCTATGTTGTGTGTGTGTGTGTGTATGTGTGTTAGGGTGGTGTGCGGGACTTGGACAGAGTTTCCGCTAGACACAGATCAGCTGACTTCAGGAAATCATAATAATGGGTTCTGTGCGTCTTTCCCCGGTAGCCTGTTGGGTTTTCTTGTCTTACAACCGCTACTCGTTCTTTCTGAACTTTGCCCGTCTCACAACCTTTAAGCATAATCTCTCGTTATGCAGTTTGAGAATAATTATTCTTCAGCCGTTTGCTTTCGAATAATCAAATATTTCATTCTACTTTGGTGACGTATTTGTAAACATTGGTGTTAATATATATATATTCTTAGTGTTGAATTCGATGTTTCGCCCGATTTTTTTCTCCTGGGATGATACTTTTGGTGTCTGTAGTTGTTTTTTTTTAAAATTATATAAACAGAGTTGTGCAACCTTTGTATTACTCTGGAGGTTAATTCTTATTCAATGGTTCACCCTCCCTCCGTTACAACCCACTGCTACTCAGAGGGTGCACTATCGGCTTATCGAATTGGTGATTTGGTTAGTTTTCGCATCACTGACTCGGACTCGCTGGTTGCCGTTGGTGAAGCGTGCAAACAGAATACCCCATCCGCGTTATCGTCATCCTCTTCAAAGAAAGTGACTTGGGTTGCTGCCGTGGTCTATCGAGAAAACGCAGATGGGGTCGAATGCCAACCTGGTCAACTGTGTACCGGGGTGGTTACTTTTGTGGACTTTGTGGCCTCCCGATTGGAGTTAGTTCTGTCCAGTTGGCTGATAAATTCAATCAATCACCGGGATGATCTGAATGAGGCGTGTGCACTGCGTCCAGGTCAAAAGGTCTCATCTGTCACGGTAGCCTTACGTCAGCGAGATGTGGCTGTGGTCGCGTTTCGCGGTCATGCAGCCGGTCGATTCGGTTTGGTTCCGGCTCGACGCACATTCAACGACGTGATTGGAGGAAACGCCTGGTCTCTCGGTCAACGCAATCAGGTCACTTTGCGGTTGTAAGTTCATTTGATGTTTTCTAGGGATTGCTCGTAACCTTTCTTGCTGTTCCAGTTAGCCGTGAGTTGTTTCCGACAATGCGCTGATCTTCTAATCCCCCGAGAATGCTGAGCAATAGTGCTGAGATCGACGAAACTAGGGCAATAGGAAAAGTGCTAGTGGAATCAATTATTATTATTATTTTAATTACACACCCCAAGTGTGATAAACAGCAGACGGGACGAACCCTGAATCACGAGGGCCTACTGTTCACTGGTGGAAACCGGCAACCTAAGCCCCGGGACTTGGAGTGGCCAACCACATAAGGCCCCGATAGGTTAGGCATGATATTGAACCAGACGACAGCAAAGTTGCCTACCACCAAAATTGGGTGGCAGTGGTGGGACTCGAACCTCGGACCACAGGGTCTAAAGCACGTCGGTGACAGCGATTAAACCACTGCATCATCACTACCCTATGGCTTATTCATAGAGAGCGTAGATAGAAGACAATATATGGGAAGTAAATGGAACGTAAGAAGTCTAGATTTAACTGTACCAATTCAGCGTTTAATCTTGTGCCATTCCTTCATCCAAATGGACAACCAAAAGACAACAGACAAAATCCTCTCACGAAAGTGCATGGTTAATGGTTGTGCAAACTGAACTGAACTGAATGTTTTTTATAATTAAGGTGTAACAATGTTTAAGACCAACGTATCCAGATCTTTGTTTTCATCGGACTAAGAGAGAAATGGTTCGATTTGCTTGCCATGCCATTTTTCAAAGAAAGTTGACGTGCCGTTTGCTTCAGTTGTCTGTGTCACCACTCTCGTTTAAAACGATCACAGACAAAGAATCCAAAGTTCATCTTTGCAAAGGTTAATTGTAATTTGTTACCTCTTTCGAAACACGGGAGGCGCTCCAAATGTACAACACAAGTAGATTTATGGTTATTTTTCAAAGGGTGATCTTTATATCGGAACATTTGCGTATTTCGGAGGTGTTAAGCTCGCCCAGTGTCTCGCTTTTTTTGCTGCCGACGATAAGCACAGCTTCTTGACATTTCTACTTGTGTTCCCTGATATCCTCTGGTTTCTAGCTATCTTTTTTGAGAAACTGGTTAAATACTTCCATTCGTTAAAAGAAAAACTGTTATTATTATTTTTAAAATATCCTTTTCCCCTTATCTATTTCATCAACATATGCCTTCTTGTGTTGATGTTATATTATTAATAATTATTGTTATTATTATTATAGGCGTTTTTTATTAATACGTGTTAGACGACGAACAAATCTTCTTCATGATTCATTTACCAATCAACTCCATGATTGTGGACATTTGGTCAAACGTCATCAGTATCTAATTGAAAATTAGAATCTCGAGAACAGTGAAACCCCTCAGTTACTCCATCTGTGTAATCAGATTAGTTCTCATGTTTCGATCCCGTTCCTCATTTGAATTTTCCATAAACTGGAACCATTAGTTTTTCCCGCAGTGCCCTCTAGAATAGCTTTCAAACAGTTTTTTCAACTAGTTACTGTACAATCAAACCGGAAACCGATACCCTTCATGGGGAAGTTACATCTATCCTCTTTCCACTCCCACCCTCGCAAAATATCAGTTCTAATGTAGTTGCATTTGCACGGACTATTCACTTAAAATATTGAGATATAGCTTTTAATAATTACCTCAATTGGTCATCCGAAATCCGTGACTTTCGGTCACAGAATGTGCGCTATCTGCGCACCAAGCATACATGGTGACATACGTGCTGGTTCGATTCTTTGTTATTTACCGCTATCCCCGTGCCATCTCCTCACACTACTTGACGCATATTCAAGTATGCAGTTAGTTGATTTTCGGTTAGATAGTCGTCCAGATAGTTTGATAGCTCTCATTCGTAAGTGGCCCATTGATGTTCATTTGTAGTCCTCTCACAACGTTTTCGGTCCTCTCCTCGGCGACCGAGTGGGTAGCATACCTGCGTTCTACCTGTGAGGTCCCGGTTTCGATCCCCAGGCGGGTCGATGGATTCACACTGTTGATGAGATCCAACCAGGTCGAAACAGTTGTCCAGTGTTTCCTAGCTTTTCAGTTCATGCTTCATTTGATCTATAATTGATGAATTCACGTACGAAGAGAAATCATTAGCAATAAAAGTGGATAGAGTGTCTACAATAATGATCGTTGGAAGAGTATTTTAGTGAACAATTCAACTAGCCTGGTGCTAGTGCAGTCAGTCCGGCGATTGCAGCAAATACTCCGTAGGCGGTAACACACGAGCCTCCAACAGATGGGAGAGTACAAAACTTTATTCAGTCTATGAGGGGACCTAATGGGCTTCAGCTAGGCAGTGGCTCGCTCGTCGATACAACTACTAGTCGTATGAGCGTATCTCTCTATCCTGGGGTGAAACGTTGATCGTTCCAATCTTCAAAAGGGATCACGCAACAACTTCGCAAGCCACCCTGGGATAATAAGTTTAGTTCCGATCATCACAAAAGTGCTTGTCGCTCCTAAGGTTGATGAATATCCGCGAACAGCAAGCAGGATTCCGACCAGGTCGCGGTTGCACCGACCAAGCTTCACTCTGCATCGAGTCCTTGAATTACGCCACACACATTGTCGACCGACAATTGCAATGTTCCTTGACCTAAAAGGAGCCTTAGATTCACTTGATGGCTTTGCAGGGGGATCCCACAGAGGTATGCAGGTCTATTGAGCTCACTGTGGCTGCTTGCTTCCGTTAGCGTAAAGGTCCACGGCGGGCTGAACAAATCGGTGGAAACCTGCAGCGATTCGTCAAGGGCGTCCCACTTCACAATTTCTTTTCGTCGTAGACGAATTACTGGAGAACGCACTAAGCGTTCTCTAAACTGTTGGCATTGAATGAGTAGCTAGAGGAAATCTGTGCCACTTAGAGTACACTGACCACCAAGCGCACTTGACCGACAAATAAATGCTGCAATTCTATTCTGTATGTCAGTTGCACTTTCACTGTGCAAAGTGATGCTACTAGACTGGGTGTTGTCTACCTCAATTCTGGTGTTCGATATTCAAGAATTAGTTATGGTGCTGTGCTTCTAACACTTAAGTGATTGCGTGATATAAGACGATAGCATTGTAAGGCTAGTATTTGCCGCCATTTCCAAGTTGGGAGTGGCGTCCGCCGGTCTGAACGGCTTTTAGCGTGGATGGGATGTTTCCTTGAAGCTTAAAGGTCGCGTCTACTGTGTCACTCTACGGTCAGTTCTGCTTTACGGTTGCGACACCCTCGATTTGCACTTGGAAGAAATTCATCATCTTCGACGGTCGATGTTTGCGTAATTTGGTGCAGGTTGGAGGGTGTGAACATGTAAGTAACACAAATAAATCATGTAACTTTATTATTTCTATAAAAATGATCGTATTGTGATTTGTTTGGCATTGAGTCTGGATTCACACGTAATATCGTCAACTGCACCATACTTTATTTGCAGTCGCTGCTTCAGGTTGGAGGAAATCACGTTGAGGTTAACAGATTACATGACGAAGCATAAAGAAATGCAGTTAGGTAGAGTAGGATTCTTTCGCCTTCCAGATTGAGCTGGAGACACTGGAGGACATAACAGCGAGCCGATAGCAGTGGCGTGCTTATTCTCACTTCCTACCGGGTCAGAATGCTTGAAAAGGTATTTGTACTCAGCTGGACTGTGTACTCGATGTGCTGATCATGGACTTTCTTTTCAAAAAACAACA